GAGAGAGAGAGAGAGAGAGAGAGAGAGTTTTGAGGAAGCCGTGAACGTCTCCAGATTGTAAAACTGGCTTCATGCCCACCATGGGTTCAACTCTAGCATGTGCATGTCCTAAAATCAACGTGCTGGCTGTGCAAGAAAAACAGCATTGCTCTGGTGTTCCTCTCTCTGAAGGCTTTTCCTCCCTCGCCAAATGCTGTCCACAGCTAGTCGTACCAGTATGATGAGACAGAGGTCAGTAAATAGTGCAGTGCCACTTGCAAAAGACAGGAAGACACCCAAAGGTAAATTTATGAAAAGCAAAACAGAGAGAAACCCTCCTCAGAGCATTCCACAGTGTGCAATACAGCAACTTCGCCAAGAAAGACCATGATATTGGTACTCAGTGAAAGACCAAATACTGGCAAACCCTTGCCCACTGGGAAAGTCTCTGTTCAGACCTTGCATGCCTGGTCTGTTCAGACCTTTTGTGGGGTCCATCATTTTCATTTGCAGAATCAGTAGCTCCCCAGTTGGCACAACAAAAAACGAATATGGAGCCCCTACAATGAATGATGAAACATCGCAGAAGCTGAGCTTTCTGTCTGTCCATTCTCCTGGAAAAATAATGCCAGTCAATTACTTTTAATGTAAGTATTTTCCCCCCAAATCACTTGTGGCTAAGCTCAATCTTTCTATAAACCAATACGTAAATGTAAATAATTAACAGAAAAATGGACCAAAAATTTTCATTAGGAAATAAGAATAAGGAATCCCTATGCCAGGTGACATGGTGGCTTCCCCGCAGTTCCCCTTGAGGAAGCTTCTGCAGGCAGTGGAAGGGTAAGGACAAGTGCAGCCTCGAGGAACTAAGGTGCTGATGTGGACAAGTCTCCTGGATATTAAAGAGTGGCATCTATCACACACTGAAAAGAAGCTATTGGGACCAGTGAGATAACTCAGCAGTCCAAAGCACCTGCTTAGGCAAGCTTAAGCTGCTGTAAGGGACCACAGCTCAATCCCCAGGGCAGGCCGAGCCGGCAGAAAAAAAAAAGTAGCTATTAAGCCAGAAGTACTGCTGCACACCTGTACTCCCAGCACTCCAGAGGCAGAGGCAGGAGGCTTGCCCTGAGTTTGAGGCCACATGGTAAGCTCAAGGCCAGGCCGCCTTGAACTAGGGTTGTTTCAATTTTGCAGAAACTCCTTCTTTATCCCTCAGCAACAACTTTCCCACCTGCTTTACAGGCGCTGCTTCTACAGGGGTGGGCTGGGAAGACATCAATCTGCTCCCGACTCTAGGGAACATTTCCACACAACCACGTGCGTTCTGATGGCTCTGTGCTCACCGATGCAGAGGCCTCAAGCAGAACTTCGGGCCCTCAACCTGGTCTCCTGCCCGCTTGCTGCTGCCACCTGGGATACCACCACCATTCTCATCTCCATACGGGATGGAAACTGGGGCTTCCCTGGACTCTGCGCTTCTCTGGCACCCGACTCCCCAAGTGTCCACCCTACCCCCCATGTCTTCATCCAGTCAGCGATCACGCAGCGCTCCCAGAGTCCTCCCACTCTCTCCACCACCGCTCTGCTCAGCTGCTTCTCACCTTATCCTCAGGTTTGCTAGCGCTCTCTAGGCCGTCTGCCTGAGTTCAGCTGGCCCCTCCAGACCACTCTACCTGTGGAGTCTAACAGGGTCCTCCTGTTTCAATCAGTTTGCTCTCTGGCTTGAAATCTCTGTATCTGTCAAACCTCTCAAGTTGATATTCAAGGTTCATAACCAGAGCCAATACTTCTCTGCTGCCTAACTCAATTCTTTGCAGGCAGACTGGCCTACCAAATCCTGCTACCATGCCTTTGTCTGGACTGGGTTCCCTGTGCTTCCTCTACTTGACAGTTGGCAGCCACTGCGAGCACCAGATAAGGTCTGCTCTGATCCCTACAGCTTTCCCTAACCTTCAAAGCTCGTGATTCCAGGTAATGGAGAAGAACAGCCCCTCAGGTCTGCATCCTCTCCCATCCCTCACCTACAGACAGCTCCTTTAAGGCTCTCCCTCTTCCCTCTCTATCACTTCATGTTTTGTTAAAAAAAAAAAAAGAAAAGAAAAAAGAAAGAAAAACAAACAAACAAACAAATCTTCTATGGCTCCCCATGTGCTTAGCCCTCCAGGACTGGGCACAAACAGGCTGCTATAGATAGAAAGCAGAGGACAAAGGTGGGCTCTGAGTCTAATTCAGGGCCGGAATAACAGCAGCTCACGTTCATACATGTGGGTGGTGCTGAAACAGGTCTGTAACCTGTTTCTCTCGAGTTACAACCTTACGACATAGTCAACACTCTATTCCTTGCTTCACAGATGAGGAAACCGAATCACAGGCTAAATAACTTGCAAAGTGCTGTAAAACTAATAAGAGAGAGATCTGGGTTAAAACTCAGTCTGTCTGAGTCAGTAATGACTGTTTTGTTTTTGAAAGGATGTATAAAGGACAGAGTCCAGGTTCCTGCACATACTAGACAAGCACTGTCCCACTGAGCTGCAGCCTCAGGCCCAGAATCTGCTTATACCCACTTTGCTGTATCACCATGAAGGAATCAGGTTGTAAAAACAATAAGCAAAACTGGGAGAACAAAGGTCTGATGGAGCTAAATTTTAAAACCATAAAGAAAGGGCAACCCACTTGTGATCCCTCCTGTCTCTCAGGAGCTAGCCCTTCCTCATTCCTACTCCCTATTTTTTTTTTTTTAATATATTTGGTACAAGGTCTCACTACACCACTCAGACTTGTAGGGATCCTCCTGTTTTCAGCCTCCCGGGAGCTGGGATTTCGGGAGTGTGCAGCCACACTCGGTTTTGGTGGCTGGCTCAGTGTGCCCAGGGGGACTGAACCACCTGCCTAAGCAGGCACTTCGACCACTGAGTTGTCTTGCCAACCCTCTACTCCCTATCCTTATTCCCCAATAAATCTTCTTACTCTATAGAGCTTGGGCCACCTGCTGGGGCAAACACTCAGCCTTCTGGACGGTTTCCAGAGTTGTGCTAAGTTCTACATCTGTGGGCAATCCCCAGGAGGGGGTAACTGATAATGGAGACCCAGGGGGGCAAGGATCACCCCGTGATGTGGTGGAGTGCTAGGCACACTCTGCAGGGGCAACTCTGAAGCTTCAGCCTCTTCCTCTGCTGGAGGTCTGATTCCCTCAGCAGGCTTTGTAGGCTGAACTATGGCTTCAGGCTGACACTTTGAGTGTTCAACTTGCTCCAATTTGCTAGGTTTAATTGTCACAGCAAGACCTAGATGTGAAGACTTGCCCTCCTCCTGGGATTCAGATGATTCCACCTCTTCAGGATTCTTTGGAGATTGTCCTGGGGACTGCTGCTGCTGCTGCCTGGGATTAGGCTGAGTCATTTTATCTGTCTCTGTAGTTGCCACAAATTCCATATCCAAAATTTCAATATGAAATTTTGCAAATGTGAGAGATGAGTTTCACTGCTACTTGGGAATGGAACATTGACTTCCTCATAGCTGACCTACACTTCCCTTGGTAGGAAGTTTATGTTGACTGAGGGCCTTCTGCTGGGTTAAAGTAGGTTCAACTTCTTCAGCAGGCTGTGAGAGTTGACATGGGCCTTCTCCCAGTGGAACAGAAGACTGGATTTGGGACTCTCTAGATTCTGAGTTTGGGCCTCCAGCTGGCACTGTGATGATTCCTTGTGCTCACAGGACTTGGGGTGGCTCCTCCGGGTTCTGAAGCTCTCCCAGTGTCAGCCTCATGATCAGCTATACCCATACTTGGATCTACAGCATCATCCTGCGAGGTTTGTCCCTGCACCTGAGGAGATGCTGATTGATGGGACCTTCAAAACCTTCCTGAACAAGTTGCAAACATTGAGCAGAAAGTCAATCAATGTGAACTGGGAGTTTAAGACAGTCCAGAAAGACCCTGAGCAAAAATTTCCCATGTTAAGGCCGGCCAAATAGCTCAGCAGATTAAAGCACCTGTAAGCAGGCACAGGAGCCAGGGGTTCGATTCCCCTGGCCTGCCATACTGGCCCCATTCCGGAGGCTCGCCGAGACAGCGATTGAGACTGGGCATGGTGGCGCGCGCCTGTAATCCCAGCTCTTGGGGGAGCTGTAAACAGCAGAATCCCTATAAGTCTGATCTAGTAGTGAGACCCTGAATACTCTGTAGACCCTTCCCTAAAATGCAAAAAGAATAAAAGAAAAAAAAATGATTTTCCATGTTAGGCAAAAAGCAGAGTTTTTTTTTTTCTTTTCTTTTTTGGTAATTGAACATTTCTGTAAATTCTATGTGTTGAAATTATACAATCAAGTATTTGCTTCATCTTTTATCAGTCTAGGGACAAGCAGTACAAAGGTAACCTAATAGGTTGAACATCCACAGATAATTTATTTGAAGTACATGATCCTTAAAAATACAATAAGCTCTTAAAAGGAGGTCAAATCCCTAACAAAAGAGACTGCTTTCAAAACATGTCTTTCATGGGATAACAGACCCAGGAAAAGATTCCCATGCACACTACATTTACTCCAATTCACTAAGGCTTATCCTGCACAGATTGAAATTTAAACACCAGATGAAGGCTGGTCCATGCTGATCACTTACAGTGATACTTTGATTTTTGAATGACCTCTAGCTTGAATTTTCCGCCACATAAACAGGAAAGTTCAAAAAAAAAATCTGCTCAGTGTTAGTAACTTTGCTCAATAGTCAAATAGAAAATTCAAATTTAAAAAGCTTATACAGGGGCGGGGAGATGGCTCAGTAGAATAAGCACTTGCCTGGCAAGTGCACGGGCCTGAGTTCAATCCCCAGTTCCACCAAAAAAAAAAAAAAAAATTAAAAATAAATAAATAAATAAAAATAAAAACCTTGTACAGGTCTAGAGTGACTATTGTGTCACTTCTTGCCACACACAGATTGGTGACACTACAGTGTAAGTAAGGTTCTTGCCCGGACCACATGTAGTGCTTGTATGATTATGTTAATTTAGTCCCGGTGCTTTTTTGTGCTTTATTGGTATAAAATATCATAATCATAGCCCCAAAACTGCCAGTGATGCCATCGACAAAGAAAGGAAAAGCTGTGACAATCAGGACAGAAATGAAGACAGAAATCATTATGAAATTTGACAGAGACCTGAAAAAATAAGTGCAGATTTGGGAGTCTCAGAACCAGTGATTTAGTTTTCCGTTATTTATGAGAAAATGTGTTTAGTTTATGAACTTTGCAGGATTCAAACATAAATGTAGAGTGGGTTGCGCTTGGCACAACCACGATATCACTGTCCTTTGGTCTTATAGTGTCTCTTCCCTGTGAGTGATAAGATTTCACCCACAGTTTTTGCACTTCTATGTTTTTGTCTTTTTGTTTTTGTCCTCTGCAACCGGATTCCCGAGAACTCGCAGCATCACGTTTCTACAGAGATGCTTTGGGGAAGGAACAAGCAAAGATCATCCTCCCGAGAAGTTCAGACCCAAATCCTCAAAGACCGCCGACCCCTGAAACATTCCGTATCCCAGCTCCTGGGGTTCTCCTGGCATCTCCCTGCAATGCCAGCAGCCAATGCAAGTCACAGAGCCACTAAGGCAGAGTCAGTCACTCGGGTCTCAACTTAGTTGCAGAGTGGGGAGTCAGAGTGCAGCTTTTCTGTGAATCTTCTTGTCCTCATAGGCCTGATCCCCAAATTCTTAGCTCATCATATAGACTTCGTTTCCTCTCCTATGAACATCAGCACTCTGAACCCTAATTCTTTGCTAAACTATCCCTGAGGTTTGCCACTTTGGTTCCTACCACCTCTCCACTCTTACTGACAATGAGATCTCCATGTGTTGCTCTCCTTCTGGCCCCACGGTGATCTACCTGAACACTTCTCATTCTACTTTGTCCAGGCTCCCGGTCACCCTGACAACTTAGCACAGAGCCCTGCCAACCCCACCAGCTGCACCTTTCTCCATCCAAGTGCTGCCTCAGCCCTGGGCACTTAAGAGACAGAGTGGCCTTGACTGGTGTTTTCTGGGCCTCACGTGATATATGTTATGGAGTAGAGATTCTCACCATACTTACATCAGAGGTATTTGTGGTGCCCTGCCTCCTGCTCCTGACACCAAGGGTTGTCTAGCAGTCATATTAAACAGTGGTTAGGGGCAGTTGGAACGGTAGGTGTGTCACTCTATCCCAGGAAGCTGAGAGTGGCCACTCGTCCAGCTTCCTCAGCCTGGGCCAACGGAAGCCATCTCTTCCCCTTGGCTGGTGATTTGGCTCAGGAGAACCTCAGGGAGGCCGCTGTGTGGGACTGCGGGCCACTTTACTGGTGTGACCCTGGAAGCACATAGCACTGTCCTTCCTGGTACTTGCGAAAGATCCTCTTTGACAGGGCTGATTGCAGATCAGTCTCAGTGCCCAAGAGGGGACAGTATGTCACATGCTGCAAAGCCTACAGAAGAATGGGACTGAGAGGGAACAGAGGCTGTGGAATGGCTTCCTCTTTGGTTAGTTGCTGGGTCAGTAAGCTGCAGCTATTCAGGTTCCAGGGCCAGTATAAAGGAAGCCAATATGTCTCACAGTAGCTGAGACCTAAGCACACTCCTCGGACACATGGATCTGTGCTGAACGTTAGTGATCTCCTGGGGACTTTCTAATGCACATTTTCCCCAAATTCTGGCAACCTGACTTCAGAAGTGGCAGCTATTTCATTTTCATTGGAGCTAAAATTTTATTTCAGTGCTTGGAACTAAGGACAGTTTCTCTCACATGCTAGCCGAGATCTCTACCTAAGACAATGTCATGCCCAGGCATAAGAGAACTTTTCAAGGGCCTCAAGAGGATTCAGTGTTTTGACACTGTCATCCTTATCCTTTGGAAACTGAATGCAGTTCCCTCCGTGCAATTCTCGTCACGGGCTGCTCCAATTATAGGACTAGTATCTGAATGGATTGCAGTCATACTGACTGCTTGGTTTAAGAACAGGAATTCCACAGTCGCTCCATCACTTCAGAATGGTGTACCTGAGCTTCCCACAGTCTGTGACGTGTGCATGCCTTCCTTGTCTTAACTTTTTACTCATTAGAT